CCGAAAACTCGTGCAGGCGGCCTCTGCTGCGGTCAGCCCGGCTTTGTTCCGTGAAACCACCCGGCAATTTCGATTGGACACGCTTGCTGCTGCAGGCGCCCAGACCCTAAAGCATGCCACCTTAATCCCTGAGTTCCGGGAGATTGTTTGGGCCGACCGGGCGCCCCATCCTGATGCCAAGCCCTTGCCCGACATGGTGCCTCACAAGGATACTGCCTCGGCCAGAGGCTCCGCTGCGCCGTCTTGGCCTGTGTGTACTGGCCAGGCTCCTGTGAGCTCTCCCGCTCCTCTTGATGCCCATGCGGTCGAGAAGCTTGCTTGGTCCTTGCTCCAGCAGAAGACCTGCGCGCAGGATGATGTTTTGCAGCTTGTCAATCTTTTGCAGCCACCTCAGCGCTCCCGTCGCGGGGCCACTGCTGACGGGTTGGCATGGACCTGCGGTGCCTATGTTTTCTCTTCCCAGGTGGGCCTTCACAGTGTGTCCCGATCTATGCCACACGTGTGCCGCCTTCTCGCGGCTATTGTTCAGCACTTTGCTCCAGGTGCCGTGTACTCTTCATTGGCCGTCTTCGACGACTTCTATGGCCCTGAACATGTTGATGCACACAACGACCACAAGTTCTACAACGTCATCATTCCGATCTCTCGCTTTTCCGATGGTGACGTGCGTGTGAAGGATCAAACATTGCCTGTGCATGCCGAGCCATGCTTTCTTCAAACAAGTTTCCCTCATCAGGTTCTGCCGGCCAAGGGTCGACGCACTGTCTTGGTGGCCTTCACTGTTCGTGACTGGAACCGTCTTCCGCCCCAGGATCTGGCGGTGCTTCGTGACATGCACTTTGCTTGGCCCGGCCTCTCTGACTGCCCCTCCAATTTGGCGGGGGAAGGCGAGGTTGGAGGACCAGTCTTCTCCTCGAAACCCAGCAAGGCTTGGGGAGTGTATCACACGATGCAGGAACACTTCGATCTTGCAACCAAGCTGGAGCATCCCGCGGAGTCGGCAAGCACCGTCCCTGATTGCATAAGAAGGGCGATCTTCGACTTGGCTACCAAGGGCCCAGAGGAGATCGCGAAGCTGAGGCATGAGACCCTCTCTAGCATTGAGGCGAGGGCGAACGAGCTTGGGACTGGCAAAGACCACCCCATCACGGGGGGCAAGTGCCTTCAGCTTTTTCGAGAGCTGATCGAAGAAACTGGGTTTCCGGACAAGGAGGTGTGCCGCTTCATGGAAGAGGGAGTGTCTCTTGTGGGGGCCGAGGATCCTTCTCCTCTGTTTCCGACCAGGCCTAAGCCCATGAGGGCCACTCCTGAGCAACTTGACTCGCAGGCAATTTGGAGGCGCCGTGAGCTCCTCTCAAAGCCGCCTCAAAAGTTGTCCCAGGAGGAGCTGACCATCTTGAACGATGAGACAGACGAAGAATGCCGATTGGGTTTTCTTGAGGGGCCGTTCGATTGCGAGGAGAAAGTGACTGAGAGGTTGGGGACCAGCCAGTGGACCCCAAGTCAAAGATTCCTGCTCTTGCAGGGAGAGGCAAGAAAGCCGCGTGTCATTGACAACTTGAGGGACTCGGGAGTCAATGCATCCTTCGGGTCCACATCCCTGCTGCAGCTTCACGACCTGGATTTCGTCGCCGCCATGGCTCTCTTCGTTGCGAGGGTTTGGAGCGACAAGGAGAAGGTGCGTGTTTCCCTTCAATCCGGTGAGGTCCTCGAAGGCGAGTGGCACCCTAAGAGCAGAGATGCGCATTGGGTTGGGAGATGTCTTGACCTCTCTAAAGCTTACAAGCAGGTGCCGGTGGCTACATGTTCGTTGAAATACGCTGTCATTGCTATGCCATCACGAGAATCAAAATGGACCTTTTACCTTGCCCGAGGTCTACCATTTGGTGGGTCGGGCTCGGTTTTCTCCTTCAACAAGATTTCCCGTGCATTGTGGCACATAGCAGTGGTGAAGCTGGGACTTGTCACCTCGGTTTATGTGGACGATTACCCGACCTTCGAGATTGTCCCATTGGCGGCTAACGCTTCGGATTCGTTCTCCCGGCTGCTCAACGCTTTGGGGTGGACTCACGCCACCACCGGGAAGAAGGCTGTGGATTTCGCGAGCCAGTGGGTTGCATTGGGGGCGGAGTTCGACTTCTCCAGTCTTCACCAAGGATCTCTTGAGGTTAGAAACAAAGAGGGCAGGGTTGACCGCATCAAGTCGATCGCCCAGCAACTGACCCAGCAGGATGCCAACGTCAAGCAGCTTGCTACTTCGCTTCATGGGCTCTTGAACTTCGCCAGCGGTTTCGTCCTGGGCTCCGCTTTGAAGCCTATTGCTAGGGAGTACTCGAAGTTGTCGGCGAGGCCGGCAACGTTTTCTTCGGAGGCCATCGTTCGCCTCAACGACATGCTTTGCTCAGTCTTCTGTGCGATGAAGCCCAGGATTTTGCGAGTGACCGATCCTCGCAAGCCTGTGATCGTGTACACTGACGGTTCTCTTGAAGGTGATCAGGCTCTTTGGGGAGTCTTCTTATGTGACCTTGATACGCAGGAGAGGTTCGCAATGTCTGGCTGCATCCCTGAAGACATCCGGCGTCATTGGCTTCTGACCGTTGGGGAGCAGATCATATGCGAGATAGAGCTCTTCGCTGTCTTGTGCGCTAGATGGCATTTCGGGAAGCGGTTATGCGCTCGAAAGGGCTTCGTCTTTGTGGACAACAACTCCGCCTTGGCCACGCTCATCAAGAGATCGAGCCAATCAGAGGCCATGTTTAGGATTATGGCAGTGATCAATGCGATGGATGCAGTTCTTCCGTTCGGTGCTTGGTACGACAGGGTGCCATCAAAATCGAACCCGGCCGATCTGCCCTCCAGGGGCGAATCGAAGAAGCTATGCAAATCCTTCTGTGCAGTTGATCAGGGAGATGTGTCATTCCCTCCTGAGCTTTTGCGATTCATCAAGGACCCATGTTTCTCCTTTGCTGCTCTCGACGATCTGATGAAGGTGTATGCTCAGCATCACAGTTGACGGGGGAAATGGTGTGATGCCTTCGGGTGTGGATGAGTCGGAGAGTGTTGCCTCTGCCATCCTTCGATTTACCCCCGACGTCCAAGATCCGAGCAGTGCGAGGGAGGAGTGAAAAACATGCGCGATCCTTTGGTGAGCAGTTGCGGAATTATATCTTGCAATATATTCCGACTGAGATTTCCATCGAAATTTTATTATTTATATGTTTCGATGAGATTCCAACGGGATACCGTTCAAATATCTTTCAAATGATTTTAACAGTTCTGGGACCACACGACAGACGTCTAGTGTCTGCGGGCGGATACTTCTGTCTGTTGTGTGGGGCGTAGGCACGTAGCGAACCCTGAACTGTATGTTTCACCTCGCGGTAGCTCGAGAAAACATTTCATCAATTTGTCGTCACACAGTTTGAAGTATTTCATTTGTGTTTCGACCTTTTTCAATTACATGCTTTACACTTTCATGTGCGCATGGAATTGTGTGAAGCGACTACATCCGAAGTCGGGCATCAAGCTTGAATTTTAGCCCACCCACCCTACCCTGGGGGAAATGGTGTGATGCCTTCGGGTGTGGATGAGTCGGAGAGTGTTGCCTCTGCCATCCTTCGATTTACCCCCGACGTCCAAGATCCGAGCAGTGCGAGGGAGGAGTGAAAAACATGCGCGATCCTTTGGTGAGCAGTTGCGGAATTATATCTTGCAATATATTCCGACTGAGATTTCCATCGAAATTTTATTATTTATATGTTTCGATGAGATTCCAACGGGATACCGTTCAAATATCTTTCAAATGATTTTAACAGTTCTGGGACCACACGACAGACACAACTGCCTGCAGCTTATGACGTTAGGCTTCGAAATCTCTTCCAGTCTTTGGGGGCCCCTCTGGGTACGGCCGCGTATGTTACCACATCACAAATCCTCTCCCAATTCTATAGGTGCAGTACCCTTCGGAAAATATCCGTTGCTGGGTTTTGTGGCACAAGGGCTCGCGAGGTTGAAGACCTATATATTAGGTACATATGCTTCGTTCTTAACAGCATTCCGAGTGCCCTGGATGGCCGCCTTATAGTCTTACTTCATCTTGTTGATGATAAACTCGCTTCATGGGCCTTTAAGCCTGAAGCTGCCCCTGTACACACGATCTGCTTCGTCGCCATCCCGCCAGCTTTGACCGGCGCCATTTGGTTTCAAGCCGAGGTCGACAAAGGGGCCATCACAGATAAAGTGTTGCCCCTCCTCAGCTCTCCTGCCTTCCCCCACCTCAAGCTACCTTCTGGTGACTTTGAGGTCCTTGCCGCTTACCTGCAAGCTGACCAGGCAGCTGTCCTCCTTTTTAACTGCGTTACTCTTGAGGTTGCGTGCGCTTTGAGCATATCTGGGGGACCCCTCTCGATTTTGGAGGCCGTCAGTGCGAGCGCTGATAGTCCCTTAATATCTTGAGCGTGAATTTTCTTGAAAAATCGGGCCTGGATTTTTAAAGAAAATGGCTGCCAAATGTTTTCTGTAGTGTGAGCGCCAAGTGTTGCTATATTGCATCCTCTTGTCACCCGCGCTCGTCATCTCAAGGCATCTCAAAGCCGGTTTTGCACAAACGTCAGTGACACTATGCTGGACTTCACTGAACAAGCCACAAGTCTTGCACATGTAAGGTTGCAGAAATTTTTCTTTCGGCGGGTCGTCCCATGGACTTCGGCGACGCCCTCGCCGCCGGTTCTTCAGGCCGTTCCGAAGACAGCTCTACCAGCACCCGCGAGCTCCATAGCCAGCACATTTACGAACTCCAATTGGAGGTCAACGCCCTCCGTGCTGAAATCCAAACTCTCAGGTCCGCATTGCAAGCTCTTGAAGAGTCCCTTGCTCGTGCCTGGGTGAACCAGACCGGCCACCACCAACGTCTCTCGTGGCTCGAAGGGATCATTCAGAGCTTGCGGGCTGCCTGTCGAGTATTTCTTGAGCCTGGCGTGCAGCCTGCCTCACCTTAGGCCATGAATACCTTTAGTGCCAGCATCTTGCAGCAACTTGCTGGTGTCACCCGCGAGCAGCTCGACGGTGCCTTGCCTCCGGCGCAGGCCACTGTTGGGCCCCCTGAGCTTCCGTTTGCACCTGTGCCCGATCTTGGGGATGCCTTTCCTGCAAATCCATCTCCTGCATCTGCTTCTGCGGATAACTGGGGGTTTGTAGGATTTACTGGTGACTTCGAAGGGTTTACCGATGACCTCGCAGTGCCTGTCTCTGAAGTCGAAGTCCAGCAGCAAACTCACGAGTTTCCACCTTCCCCTCCCGTAGGGTTTAACCCCAATCACTTCGAGGCCCATTTAGCATCCCTCTGCGAGCCAGATGAGCAAGCCCCTTCCCTCTCCCTTTTAGGGTCGGGAGATGAAAACACTGCTTGGTATGAAGATGTTAGGGCCATGAGTGAGTCACATTTTTCATTGGTGCCAAGTGCCAGCAAAAGAGACTTTGGAGAAGAGGTCCGTCCAGGTAGGATTGCTCGTGCTGTGGGCGATGAGCGCTCACGTACTGCCGTGGCATTTCCTGCCCTGCCTTGGGAGAGAGGAGTCTTCAGAGCCATCTTTGGGGATGAGGGCTTGACTAATCCCTTTGATAACCTTGTGCTCAAGATGCCTGGCCCCTTAGTCCCAGCACATGTGCCGCCGGCTGAGCCAAAGATCCCTGAGCCTCCCATACCTTCAGCTGACATCGCGAGCAGGGCATTCAAATCCTTCAAGGATGTACATCCGAGCGACGAGCGTGATATGGTCATGGACCGAGCGGTGTGCAAACTGCAGCACATCATTTGCCGCACCGATGTTGACCGTTTGTCACCTGAACTTGCACAAGCAGCCTCTTCCAAAGATGCAACAGACGAAGTGTTTGGCATTGTGTCAGCTTGTGTAGGTCTTCGTAGTCCTCACACGGTTGTGAAGCGCGCCAACGCGATCCTTGCATACTTGAGATGGTGTGACAAGGAAGGTTACGAGAAGCCATTTTGTGAGGATTCTGTGTGGAGCTTCATTTCCTACTTAAAGAAAGAGAAGGCAGCTCCTACCCGTGCAGCCTCCCTCATTTCAGCTTTGCGCTTTGCGAACTTCGTTTTAGGGCTGAGTGTGTCCGAGGTTCTTGCGAGCCGTAGGATTCTGGGCCTCAGTGCCCAGCTGGGTGTCAAAAAGAAAGCGACCAACCGAGCCCGGCCTTTCAAAGTGTCAGAGGTTCGCTTCATGCATGGCGTGCTAGAGGACGAGAGTGCACCAATCTGGGACCGAGCCATCTGTGCCTACCTTCTTCTTGCACTCTACGCAAGAGCCAGACACAGTGATCTGGTTCTTGTAGAAGAAGTGATTGCAGACTTTGATCGCCAGTGCAGCGGATACCTAGAGATCCGCCTCAGATTCCATAAGACGGCACAAACCATTGCAAAGAAAAATGATTTGTTGCCGGTTATAGTTTCAAGCAAGGGCATCGTGAAAGGCGACTGGCTGGGGTTGGCTACTGATGTATTTGAGCGTGTGGGCCTCACCTTGGATGGGACTGTCGGTGCGGGCCTCTTCAGGCCATTTAGGCCCGGTGATACTGCCCCAGGTCGACGAAGCCTAAGGTCGTCGGAGTGCACAACCATGTTGAAAATGGTCCTTGAGCGGGCCGGGTCAGATGTGTCAATGGTCACCTCTCACTCGTTGAAGAGAACCCTGCTTGATTGGGGCTCCAAGTTTTGTCTTGATGACGGGATTTTGGCTTTGCTTGGGCGTCACAGTAAGTGTGTCAAAGGAAGCGTGCCCGTCTATGCTAAGGAGGAAGCCTTGAAAGCTGTTAGGGCTCTTGAGCCTATGTGCCAAGCAGTGGCCGCGGGATCGTTCCACCCAGATGCTGCCCGAGCCTTGTACTTTACGGATCCCCCAGCGCCAACTGTGGTGTCACAAGCGCCCGAGTTCAGGGCGGCTGTCAAGGCGAAGGTTGAAATCATCAATGATTCAGCGTCCGAGCGGGCTGAGTCAGAGGGGCAGCACTCTTCAAGTGGCAGCGAAAGCAGCGATTCCGAGTCACAAGATGACTCCGACTCGTCGTCCGAGTCAATTGCGCCGATCAAAGCGCCCCGCCTGGAAATCGAGCAGTGGGATGCCGCTGACTGTGCGGCCAATTCCAGGACCAGGACCCTTCACCTCTTGAAATTTGTGTCTGGAGGTGGAAATCTAATCGCCACGTGCGGAAGGACCTCAGAGGTCATGGTTCAAGCGGCGCAAGCACATATGCGTTTCCGGAGGTGCCGCGCTTGTGTGCGGATTGGGAAGCGCTGAAGGCTAGATGCCAACTTTCCGCCTTTTTGGCGAAGGGCGAAGTGCCAGGACCTAGAAGGTCTTTGATTGCGATTCGAGTCCGGTTAAAGAGTGATCGTCTGCAGTGGGACATGTTGTTGCAAGGGACAGTGAAGCGCGGCAGTGTTCTGAATTAGACTCCGCTTGACTTGCATTTTTGTGAGTGCAGTGCGAACATTTGAGTTCTGCAGTATTGGCCGAGGATAAAACCTGTTTTGATCATGTCATGAAGTTCATGTTGTGTTCTTCTCGCTTTATCTTAGATCGAATGATGCTCTAATTGCTTTCAGCTGCTGTTCAGGTACCTCGAAGTTTTGACGTGCACAGTGGACTGTCCGAAGCTCCTTTTGCTCGCCATGTCCTCGTTAATCGATAGCGGTGCACACTTTAAAAGGCGTGCGGATGAGGTCGGCCTCAGCAGTGCCGGGTGGACGATCCTTCAGGCCCTTGGCATTACCTCTGTAGGTAAGGCGGCGTACACCATCACGTCGCCAGGTGAGCCAGTCACAGAACCCATATTCCGAGATTGGGTTGCCGACAATGCCGCAGGTATGACTCTGGGTGATCAATCATGCTTGAAAAGGCTCGTGTCCGAGTCCCAGACTCTGGTCCCAATCGTCTGCCCCTCGTCGTGTTCCCGAGGCTGAGCGCGACCGAAGACTGAATGATCTTAGGGCGGCCCTCCCAGGCATCACGCTGGAGGGCGTGAACATGCCAAGCAATGCCCTGTTGGATTCATGTTGTCAGCAAGAGCGAGACAACTTGCTTAAGTACATCCCGCCTGAGAAGGCCACGAGCCGCACCCATGAACTCACGAATCCCAGACCGACCCATCAGGCGCTGCAGGTCGAAGCATCCAAGATAGTTCTCAAGAGTGACGCTGATGCCGTTGAGTATCAACCGGTCAATGCGCTCCAGACCATGGAGGCCCTTCGGCGACGAGGTTTGGCCATGGTGTTTGCACAGATGATTTCATATGATGCCTACGATCGGTATGTGAATCGTCTCTTTAACCACCTGTCCCGTGACCCGCCGCCAGGGCTCAATCGCGTGAATGTGACACAATTGGTTAACGCTGACAAGCAGGTGTTTGCACTGCTGGCCGAATGGGGTGTCAAACCAAGGAGGGATACCGCAGGCGAGTATCCCCTTGACCGAGAGATGCACCGTGCTTTGGAATCCTACGAGGTATCCATTGCCCTCATGCACCAGGCTCCCCAAGGGAAGTTCCCGTTCAAGATTAACCGCAAGCGTCATCCCTCTCGGCCTTCAACCCCCGATCCTCCTACGAAGCTCCCTAAAGGCAAAGGCCGAGGCAAAGGTGCCAAGGGTGGTCCTGCGATGCCCAAGGAGCTTGTTGACCTGAAGGCCAATGCCACCACGCCTGAGGGTAAGAGCATTTGTTATGCGTTCAACTTGAAGGAGTGCAAGCGCACCGACTGCCCTCATCAGCATGTTTGTGCCAGGTGTTTCCAGCCGCACTCGATCCGCAAGTGTGCCGCCGCCGGCGCTTGAGCGCCTTCGATCCCCTCTGAAGCAGTTTTGCATCGTGATTCACTATTGTCTGAGCCTGCCTCGTCTCTTGTCGCAACTGGAGACCTGGCTGATGCATGCAATCCCATCTCCCCTCCTTGTGAACAGCACGCCCAAACCTTGCTTTCCCGCGGTGCCTTGTGTGCTGCGGATGTGTTGGGCTTGGTCTCTTTTCTGCAACCCGAATCACCTCGCTTCCCTGGTGAGTTTAGTTGGGCCACTGGAGCCTATGTGCATGGCGGCATAGTCGGCCTCCGCCACAACCTCAATCATTTTCCACTTTCGTCCAAAGTCTTGGCGAGCTTTGTTTCGAATACATTCCCACAATTGGAGTTTACCTCCATCGTGGTTTTAGTTAACACCCTCACCCCTGCGCACCAAGGTCTCAACAACCATTTGGGTTTCCCCAATGCTTTGATTCCGCTTAGTCAGTTTGAGGCCGGTGGCCTTTGGATCGAGGGAGCTGGTGAAGAGGTTTGTCCTGACCCCGGGCATCCCGATGCCAAGGGACATGTTCTGCAACTGCATGAGCCGATCCAGTTCGATGCGCACAGGCTGCATGCGACCTGCCCGTGGACAGGAAATCGCACTGTGCTAGCAGCTTTCGTAATCAATGATTTCCACAAGTTGGATGCTCAGCACCGCCAGCTTCTTCAGCACACTGCTTTTCGCTTGCCAAACCTGTCTACTGGCGAGCTCCTGCCTTTGCGCCCAAGCATCGCTTCACGGTTCCCAGTGGTCCTTGAAATTTTTGCGGGTACAGCTCGTGTGACCGCAGCCTTGCGTCGCTGTGGCTTTGTCGGGGCCCAAGGTGTTGATCACGTGGTCGTGGATCATGCTGCCTGTCCTGTGCTGTTGGCCGATCTGACTACGCAAGAGGGCCAGCGTTTGACCATGATGTGGCTTTCCAGCCCTCATGTTATCGGTGTCTTCATCGCTCCACCGTGTGGCACAAGCTCTCGCCCTGACTCCTGGATGGATATTGACAGTGCTCAGGGCGTGAGGCAAGGCTGTATGCTTGCCCCATGCCTGTGGCTATTGTTCGTCGCATACCTCTTCCATCACCTGGACACGACAATGGGAGGAGCAGATTCATGGACATGCCAGCACTCCACTGCCTTCGCCGATGATCTTCACTTCAAGTGGGATCTTGACGATCCCAAAGCCCTGGATCGGATGAAGATGGAGGTCGCCACGGTACTCTCAGTGCTCAAGTCCTTTGGTCTTCAGATCAGCGCAGAAAAATCCACCATGTTGATCGAGATCCGAGGAACAGCAGCCGATGTTTGGTTGTCCAAGAACGTCTACAAAGATGCTGAGAACAACAAACACTTTCGTTATGACACGTTTGCCAAGCTCTCTATCCCGCTTGGTACCCAATTCAAGTATCTTGGGGTCATATTATCCTATCGCAACTACGAGCTGGCCAGTGTCAAACATCGTGTACAACAGGCTGCCATCCACCATTCCCGTCTTCGTCGCATTCTGCAAGGACGCGGGGGCATCAGCCGGCATCAACGACTTCGACTATGGCGCATCTGCATTCAGACAAGCCAGCTCTACGGACTCGAGGCCACAGGTGTCACTGAGGCAGGGATCAAATTACTACATGTTCAAATGCTTCGTCACCTAAGGGCCATTACAGGTCGACCCAGGCATCTTGATCGCAGCACTGATCAGGAATTGTTGGACAGTCTCAAAATGGCATCGGTCAGGCAGATGCTATCTCAACGACTTCAGTCGGCAAATACCCGTCTTTGCTCCAACACTGATCTGCCATGCTACGACAAAGACAATATTCTGCGACGTATTCAGGCCTTACAACCAGGTATTGACCAACCGATCTGCACACAGCGGGTCTCTACCGCCTCGACTGCACCTGTACAGCAGACTCAGCATGATGTTATGCCGCAGGAGCAGAAAGTGCGACTCCAGGAACTACCCGCTGACACCAAGCAATTTCGATGTCAGGTATGCGGTCAGTCTTTTCCGTCTTTACATTTGGTGAAGACCCATGAAGGAAAAGCCCATAAGATCTTGGCGCCGAAACGGGAGCTGCCCCAGGATCGCTCCGTCTACTCCATAAACGGACCCCCGCAATGCCGTTTTTGTGGCTACAAATTCACGAAATGGAGTGGCCTCCAAAGACACATACAGCGGAACGGCTGCCCGATTCTTCGCCATGAAGATCCCGCCACCTTTGCCACATCCGCGCCCGCAACTACAAACAAGGCTGAAGATCCTCTTCGTACTACACAACATGCATGGGTGGCCGACTCGACCATTGCCACCACTATGCCTTCAACTGGAGATCAACCTTTGGTCCAGGATGCGCAGCTACAGCAGGATGCCAGCAAGTACACGTGGACCAAGGTGCTTCACATGTGGCGTACAAAACATGACTTCACGAATGTGTGTGTGTTCTGTGGTCAATGGGCAGTGGACGCCAGTGCTCTCAAACAGCATTATGCCAAGCAGCATCAGGCACTCACCAATCCGTGGATCGCAGCATATCGGGCCGAGTGTAAGCAGCTAGCTAAAGTTGCCGTTTCTAAGTGCCGCTTCTGTGGTACCACCACCACGGATGCTCGTCAGCATGCCCACAAATGCATACATGTTTTTCAGGCCTACATGCTTACCAGCCACGTCTCAGGTCGAAATGGAGGACATGCAGGACTTCGATGCCGAAAGCCAGATCCAGAGCCTCCTCGGGGGCCTCTCCTCAGTAGTGGACCTCAAACCACTTCTGAATCCAACGCCAACACCGGCGCGCAATCAGTCCCATCTGACCAACAAGCGTCCGAGGGCGGAACAGTGGACTCGAGGCACCGGGAGCAAGGGCGGCGGCAAGGGCAAAGGAGTGGCCTCCAACGGTACTTTATCACAGGAGGATCTTCAACAGCTCCTCAGACAGATCGTCATCCTTCTCCTACGCCAAGGCGACCAACTCAATCGGCTACAGACGGATACAGGATACTATTTGGTCTTTCAAGTCCCGGGCGATGCCACCATGGTACCAGTTCTGATTGCGGGAGCGCTCGAATGGCGCAATCAGAAGAAGGCCGACCCGACCAAGCTCACCATGTCTCTCCGCATAGCCCTCATCGGACTCTTCCTCAAGGAGCTTCAGATGCGTCTGGAAAAGATCCGGGCCAACGACCAACTTCAGGAGAAGCTCAAGGAGCAAGGCCTGATGACGGACGAAGGTGCTTGGACATATCGCCAATGGTGTCCCAAGAACAAAGCACTTCAGCTACAGCTCAGCCGGGATCCGATCAAGTGGGACGTCCTGATGACACACATCACGAATGCTCTACAGGGACTGAACAATCAGGACCACATCACACGTTTTCAGGCGACCAAAGCCTTGGAAGAAGGACAGATGGGTCCCACCCTTCCATTCCTTCTGGACATCTCGCTCAAGCCGAGTGCGTGCCGTCTACACCAGAGTATGAGGGCATTGGTGGACTGCTCGGCCATGGAAGCAGTCGGCGCACGTATTCGACCCCAGCGAGCCAAGCGATCTCAGCTCCAGGATCAGCTCCAGGAGTGGCTGCGAGGCAGGTTCTATCATGTCGGTTGCACAATCCACACAATATCTGTTATGCCAACTCTTTCTTCATGGCACTTGCATGGCTATTTGGTGAGGTCTCGATCTCTGAACATGCCCAGGCTCTATTTCAGATCTTGTGTTTTATCTGCCAGCATGGTCTCAAAATTGCTGTGTCTGCCTGATCACACGGCTTTTCAAGCATTGATTCAGGAATGGCCACATTTTGACCGGCAGCAGGATGTGGCAGAGTTTGCGCAACATGTCCTCGATCGTACATGGCCGGTTCAGAATGTGCTTCCAATGAGTACTTGGCAGTCTCGTGACGAATCAGGATTCTCAACCGATGAAGGTCAGCACCTCATTATGCTTCCGATGCCCTCTCGCGGTTCAAACTCAGAGATTCAGCTGTCAGGGCTGATACAAGCCTGGGCTCAGCAGTCTCCTGCACCAGGGCTGTGGCCATTGCCTCGGTTTGTGTGCCTGCAGCTTCTTCGCTTTTATACGGTTGGTGCCAGAGTTCGCAAGGACCAGAGAGCAGTAACGATTCCGCTTCAGGTACGCTTACCAGTATTTCAAACAGTGATTGGACCGCGACCAGCTTGGCGTATGTATAGACTCAGAGCCCTTATTGGGCATCACGGCTCCACTCCGCGCTCAGGTCACTACAGAACGCTGCTGATTCACTGGGAGTCCACCCAGGAAGATCCCCAGTTGTATTACACAGATGATTCCTGTATGGCGCGTCGCCCCACAAATGCACAACTCCGTGTGTTGATGACTGAAGTCTACCTGATCTTCCTGGAGTGCGTGGGGTATGTCAGCTCACTGTAGATGCGGTAAAACAACCACTTGGGTGCTGCACTGTACATGCTTGCATGCCTTGCATTATATCAGTGCCCTCTTGATTCGCCGCCCTTTTCCGGCTTTTCATGCATATGCCAGCTTTGAACGCGTGTGCAGGTCATTATGCTTATCTTTTCTACATGGCGACTCACACTTTGGTGGGAACACCGACGGATTCAGCTGCAGTTCCAAGCCAGGATGCTGCCAGTATGCCCTATAATTTACTACATGACGTGCCTTTCGGTATTTATCAGTCCAGACAGCGTGCCCAGTGGATGGATGCCAGAGGCACCTACAATTCACTGGATGATGTACCACACTGTCTTCAGAACCGATGCACGACAACCAGTTTTCAGGCACGTATGGCATCCAGCAGTGGTTCACGTGGCACACCTGCGCAGCTATTGGTCCTGGTTCCGGCAACATCTGATTCTCTGGATGATGTACCACATTGTCTTCGAGACCGAGGAAATGAACCTATCTCGTGTATCACGATGGATATGCTACATACCTGGGCTGATCAGCCTGCCTCTCAACTTCTTACTCCCCACCACCTTGCTCAATTTTTGCATCAGTGGGGTTTTTCAGCCGTGGATATTGTTGAATGGGGCATTTATTACTACTTTGAGCAGGCTCCATGTACGGATGCAGAGTGGAAACAGGCGCTTCTTCAGCAGCTGCACCGCAATGTTTATCAGCTTTCCATGTCTGGTGCCATATGCTATTTCAAACAGCTGCTAGTGGGTGCCCATCGGGAGGACTTTTTTGAGGAGCTTTACACGGTGGCATGCCGTCGCATTCAGCTGGATGATCCTACTACTACTATGACCACTGTTCTTCACTGGCTATATATACTGGCCACGTATGGTACCTTGGTCTGATGCCTCAACAGCTGTTTCTTTGATTGCATGGCCTTCACAGTCTGGTGGGCTATGCTATCTATCAGCTTCCGATCCACTGCTCTTCAATCTTCTGTATGGTGCCTCTGATTTCGATGGTGTTGCTTCATCAACGGTCTATTTCCAGCATGGGACTTCTTTGTACATGTACATACGGTCGAGTAGTCCAGTCCGTCTGGTTAGACCAATGCCATGTGTACAAAGGTCTAGTAGTCCAGTTCGTCTGGTTAGACCACGGTGTATATACGATCGAGTAGTCCAGTTCGTCTGGTTAGATCGATGCCATGTGTACAAAGGTCTAGTAGTCCAGTACGTCTGGTCAGACCGATGTGTATATACGATCGAGTAGTCAGCACGTCTGGTTAGATCGATGACTTGTGCTCTGTCTCACCTTTGTTAATGCTGACGTTGGTTTTTAAAACCACTCCTGCAGTGTTTGCCCACATGTGGCTAGCCCGGTGGGATTCACTGCCTTTGCTCACTCTGAGCCGATGCCACTGTGCATTGTAGCGTAGCGCGAGACTGCTGGACAGTTTGCGTCATACAAAGTACAAAAAAGTACACAAGCTCTCGCGCCCGGGAGATTGCACTCCCTGGGCCTTCTCCCGCCCCGCTGCGATCACTCACTTTTCCCGACGGGCTGCCCCATCTATCTGGTCTCAACCTGGTGCGCGTCAACCGGGCTAATCAGCTGTACCACTTTACAACTACCATCTGTGCTGAGGCCCATCACCGCAACCTCATCATCGCCGTGGAAAATCCGCGGAGCAGTCTCTACTGGTCCACCAGCTTCTGGGCTGCTGCGGCCTCCTTTTGTCCTATGCATACTGATTTTCAACACTGTGCCTTTGGCGGTCGCCGGCCCAAGTGGACTCGCCTTTGCCACAACCACCAAGCCTTCCATGCTTTGCATCGCGTCTGTCCGGGCGGTGCCTGTGCTGCCCAACATTTGCCGTGGGGTCGTTCTGAAGACGGCTCCTTTGCCACCGCCGGTGAAAGCGCTTACCCGCCGCAGCTAGCCACCGCCATCGCTCAGTGCTTTGCTCGAGCAGTTACTTTTCTGCCTGAGGCCGAGCCCTCCCTTGCAGCCATGAGGGCCACTTCCGGCCTTCAGCCCAAAGCTTCGGCGGTGCCGCCCCTTGTCCCCGAGCACAAAGCTGTGCTTGTGATGACCGGCCCAAGTGATGCCACTTCCTTGCCGACCCTTCGCGCCCGACTGCCCGAGCCGTGGTCTGACTCGCGCTTCGCGCCTGCTGGGCCCGTGCCAGCCCACAGTCAATTACTCCGAGCGGATAAGAAGGGAAGTGATCGACTTGAGTTGGCCTGGGGCATATCTTGGTCTCCAGAAGAGTTCATACATAAAGCGGTCCAAGCGGGACATCCCAAAAAGTTTGACTCGCTACTGCCTTCCGCACTGAGCCACAGCATAGACGTAAATGCAAAAACAACGCCGGCCGATAGAGTCGGCCTCAGAGCCGAATGGTTTGCAAAGTGGACCAAACGTGCGGCTGAACTTTCGGGGGACGAAAAGAAGCTCAAGAGCTCTCTCCCCGAGTACGCCAGGAAGATCGTCCTACCAAAAAGGATTTTATTGTGGCGTGAGATTCTAGAGGATCTCAAATATCCTGACATTGGAGTGCTGGACGAAATGCTTGAAGGAGTGCACTTGACAGGTCAGACCCCTTGCACAGGGGTCTTTCCTGGGGCCTTTAAGCCAGCAAAAAGGACTTCGGAACAGCTGCGCTCCAAAGCTAGTGAGTCCCGCCAGAAGATCATCGATGCAATCAAATCGCAGGGTCACCTGGATGAAGCGCTAGAGCAAAAGGTCGACGAAGAAGTGGAACTCGGCTGGCTGTCCGAGCCGATAGACCCGGCCGATTTGCCGGAAGACGCCACAATCAGCAGGAGGTTTGCGATCGAGCAGTCAGGTAAGATTCGCTTGATAGACGACCTGAGTGATAGTGGTGTTAATGGGTCTGTCCAAACCACCGAGAGCCCCAAACCTCAATCCCTTGATGTGGTGGCCGCCATGGCCTTGGCCTGTCTTAGACAGCTGCCTGGGACTCCCATGCTAGGGAAGACGTTCGACTTAAAGAGCGCATACAGGCAAATGTTTGTGTCTCCGGACGACCTCAAGGAAGCTTACATTGCATACTTCAGCCACCGCGAACGCAAAGTGATAGTAAGGCAAATGCTTGCGCTCCCATTCGGGGCGACCAGAGCGGTGTTCTCTTATTTGAGAGTGGCGCACTCTATGTGGTACATTGGATGCTGGGCACTGAAGCTGATTTGGTCGCATTTCTTCGACGACTTTCTGAGTCTGGCGACTCAGATCGAGGCCAAAGCAGTTGACCTGGCGATATCATCATTGTTCAGGTTGCTAGGGTGGAAAGTCTCGGAGGACAAAGACAAGCCCTTTGCTGAGAGTTTTGCTGCGCTTGGGGTACGGGTTAGCTTTGAACGATTTTTGCAAGGGGAAGTCCTGTTCCATAACACGGACAAGCGCATCCTGGAGGTCTCGGCCACGCTGCGCCATGCAGCTGACGATCCGGCTCTCACCCAGAAGGACCTGTCGCGCATTCGAGGTCGCATGGTCTTCGCAGGGGGCCAGCTCTTCGGAAGAGCCGGCCGGCTATGCGTGGCCGCCCTAGCTGGTGAAGGTTGCTCGACCAAGGCTAACCTTAGCAACGACGCAAAGCAAGCCATGCTTCAGTTTGCCGACCTGCTTGAAGCCAATTGGCCGCGCGTGCTGAGAGATGTGTCGGCAGATCCTGTGTATATCTTCACTGATGCCTCGTATTCCGAGGTGAGTGGAGGTACTTTCTGCGGCATAGGCGGAGTCTGCTTTGACCACAAAGGTCATCCCCTTGGATTTTTCTCCGAAGAATTGTCCTGTTTCCAGAAGCGTCTACTAGGAGAGGGCAGGTCTAAGACCATCATCTTCGAGGCGGAACTTGCAACAATCGTAATCGCTTATGTCTTCTGGAAAGATTGGCTTAGGGGAAAACCTGCTGTGATTTTTGTGGACAATAACTCCGCTAGAGACGTGTCAATCAGTGGCACATCACGGAATGATGTAGGCAAATCGCTTGCATCACTTCTCTTAACAGTGGAATCCTTAGCCAAAACTTTTTCGTGGTTCGCTCGCGTTCCGTCACCAGCGGACATCGCAGACACGCCTTCGCGTGAAGTGCTGAAAAGCTTCACCGTGTCAGGCCGCCCCGTCCCTCACTTCCCGTGCGAGGAGGCGATGTTTGTTCCGCCAGGCGATGACGTTCCGCCATCTGTAGCTGCAGGTTTGAGGCTAAATGCCTCATGGCACCAAGGTACCCCTTGTCACCGCTGGTGAAAAACGACAGAAGCTTTCAGGAGTGCTGTGTGTGTCGTGTCTCTCTTGAGTGTGAGCGTCGCAAGCCAAGCCACTAAGCCTTCAAGTGCGACCCCTAAATCGGCAGCCGTTTATGCTCAAGATATTAAGGAGGCCGTCAGTGCGAGCGCTGATAGTCCCTTAATATCTTGAGCGTGAATTTTCTTGAAAAATCGGGCCTGGATTTTTAAAGAAAATGGCTGCCAAATGTTTTCTGTAGTGTGAGCGCCAAGTGTTGCTTTTTTGCATCCTCTTGTCACCCGCGCTCGTCATCTCAAGGCATCTCAAAGCCGGTTTTGCACAAACGTCAGTGACACTATGCTGGACTTCACTGAACAAGCCACAAGTCTTGCACATGTAAGGTTGCAGAAATTTTTGTTTCCCCGCCCACCCACACCAATTGCATCTCAGACCTTGCGGCGAGTGACGCCCCTGCAGCCGAGTGCCGCATGCGTGAATCCAATCCCTTTGCACACCCCTGCCGATCCGGTGAGCGCGACCGCGCGTGCTTCGCTCATAATGCGTTCTCGGGGAAAATTCTTGATTTCGGTTTACACATCCTTTTGCAGGCGATGTTTGTTCCGCCAGGCGATGACGTTCCGCCATCTGTAGCTGCAGGTTTGAGGCTAAATGCCTCATGGCACCAAGGTACCCCTTGTCACCGCTGGTGAAAAACGACAGAAGCTTTCAGGAGTGCTGTGTGTGTCGTGTCTCTCTTGAGTGTGAGCGTCGCAAGCCAAGCCACTAAGCCTTCAAGTGCGACCCCTAAATCGGCAGCCGTTTATGCTCAAGATATTAAAGGTCACTTTTCCCCTGTTCACGCGATACTCCTCACATTGCTGCCGATTTTAGGCAACGCGTTCATTCCTGAGGATCTGTGGTCTCGGGAAATTGACTCATCCCACATCGAGCATGGGGTCCTGAGTGTCATTTCGACTCTGTTAAACGGCTGTACTGGCCAGCCTTCCGGTGTTTGCGCTTACGAAATCGAATGGCCCGCTCACCTACCTGCAGTCTTGACTCCTATTGCCTGGCTACCAGACAGCCTCGATGCCAAATCCCGTACACACACCGCAGTGATTAAGCTTGCTCCAGCAGCTGAGAATGAAGCAACGATAATGGTCGTCCCCGGCTACGTGCCGCAGCCAGCAGCGTGTATTGCTCTCAAAGGAGGATGACGATTGCAACATCATCCCTTATACACCCTCTCGTGAGGGCCTCTCTTCTTCGTTGCTTCCAATTCTTAGCTACACAGCAAGCTCATAACAAGCGGTGTCGTGTGCGGTCATTAAACTTGATTTGGCATCTTCTAGGTGTCCCAGCAACTTTTCCAACGCTTACCGCCCTTAGGGCAACCCTACATTTCACCAACGCCCCCCCTTCCGTGTCCCAGGCGTCTGTCACTCAGTGCCTGGATGCTCTTCTGGATCATTGGAAGGCCGGCTTGCTATCGCACCAAGGCGACCGTCAGGAACCTAGCCCCCTCCTTTTCCTTGTTCTAGGTTACCCGCCACAACCAGGGGATCTGGATTCCTTTCAGGAAGCACTTGGGGGGGCAATACTCGCCCTTGCCCAGCAGATCGTCTCGATTAAGCTATCGCCGGACCCTACCAAAGGCGTTGGCTTGTCCCTGCAAATATCCACCTGGAATGTTTCCAGTTATAAGGTCTGGACGAGTACTTCAGCGGTGTGTAAGACCAAAACGATCCTTAGCCTTTTGCGAAAGGGTCCTGTGTGTCTACAAGAAACTATAACTGGGATGCAGGTGGTCCTGTCGCCGCTGCACATACTTTTCCACGTGCGGCTGTGGCATCTTCGCCGGCGATTTCCACCTCAGTTAGCTCTGGCGTTGCCATCTTAGTTCCAGCACCATTCACCCTCACTTCGCAAACTGAAATCTTACCTGGTTTGGTCCTTTCGGCGACAGTCCAACATTTCGCCCATCGCTGTGAGATCGTTTGTGTCTATGCTCACCCTGACAAACTCGCTGAAGTCGGCCGTGCTTTGGTCTCCCACTTGACTTCCAGAGCTCACCGAGATGAACTTTTTGTGGCAGGCGACTTCAACCGCATGGCTGAAAAGCAACCAGGGTTATGGGAGCTGGTTTGCGCGGAGGGTCTCTTGCGCAGAGTTTCGGGGGGCACTCCGACCTACCGTTCTGGTAATGTGTCATCTTGCCTAGACGAAATCCTGCATAATGAGGAAGCAGAAGGCTGCCGTCGCCTTAGGAGCCGGGTCTTTTGGCTTCAGGCACTCCCACAAGGCCACGGTGTAGTGACTCTGCGGGTACGCAAGGCGCGCATGCTCACTAATGATGTGGGAGCGACAACCTACCGAGCTATTCCAAGGCCAGCCGTCGAGACGGTCTCTGTAAAAGAGGTCATTACCAAAGTGGACCTTAACAGGGACGGTGTCCTGGCGGCGGCAAGCGCCAGGAAGCTGGACAAGGCGGGGTATAGCCTCCAGGATCGGACGGCTCTCGTCGCTCCTGCGGCCGGCCCCGGCCTTGCGAAGATAAACCTTGCGGAGGCCTACTCGCAGGTTTTGGCGACGTCGCCTTCGGACACCCCCATCTCTTCGGAGTTGGCGGCGGTGCGCGCGTGGGTTGCGCGGCACTTTGAAGGCGGCTGCCTCGACCTGTTGGAGGTTTTCTGGGGCGGTGCGGTCGTTTCCGACGCAGCCCGCTGCAGAGGCGGGTGGAGAAGCTGGAGAAGAAGAAGCGCAAGGACTCTGACAAAGAAAAAATGGCGGAAGAGGAAGCGATCGGGCTGCTGCAGCAGAGTCCGCACGAGCTTCCGTGCACCCCCCCTCGTCAAGATGTAGTCCGAGGGGCCGTCTCGAATCAGAGGCTGGCTCTCGTCGAACTGTCGACTGGGCGGGCGGCGGCCGGTGATGCTGTGGTAGAACTGCCCGGCTCGGGTGAGCTGCCCGTTGGGGCGAGTCAGGAGCACGGACTGCAGACGGTGGTCCCTCAAGGGCAGAAGCTGCGAGCCTTGCGCTGAGATCCGTGGTCTGGCCCCAGCGTCGGCTGCACGTCGTATCGCTTCGCGTTGTTGCATCCACGACATGATTTCCAGGTGTCCCCCCAAAAAAGTTCGGCCTGTGAACGCCCTATACCCAGACGAGCCAATTAATTAATTAATTATTTGTTTTTTATTTTCGGGCCAGCCTGGGGCCTGTCATTTTTGTCATTCCTTCGGTCTGTTCCCAGACGAGCCAATTAATTAATTAATTAATTAATTATTTATGTATTTTTAATTTCGGGCCAGCCTGGGGCCTGTCATTTTTGTCATTCCTTCGGTCTGTACCCAGACGAGCCAATTAATTAATTAATTAATTAATTAATTATTTATTTACAACCTGGGGCCTGTCATTTTTGTCATTCCTTCGGCGTGTACCCAGACGAGCCAATTATTTGATTTTTTTTTGCTTTCTCTGGGGAGGGTGTTCCCAGCTGCTGTTCCGTGTCAGCTACAGGCCCTGTTTCGAGGGATGCCTAAGAATTTAGTATTTCGCACGCCTGCAGATTTTAGGGCTTCGAAGCGCCAAGACACGCAATCTTAGGGGCTCCAAAGTGCTTGCAAACCGCGCGTATGCTGGCTTCGGAGCTGCTTGGGAAGCCTGTGAGAGGCTAGGAAGGTCTGCGAGCAGTAGGAAGCGATTCGTGAGGCCAGTTGCCACAAGCCATTTGCGGGCCTGCGAGCTACTCGGAGGGGCTCGTGAGTCGCTAGGAGCAGATTTGTGGGCCTGCGAGCTGCTCGGAGGGGCTTGCGAGTCGCAGAGTCGCTAGGAGCAGATTTGTGGGCCTGCGAGCTACTGGGAGGGTCTTGCGAGTCGCTAGGAGCAGATTTGCGGGCCTGCGAGCTACTCGGAGTGGACCAGAAAGCCTCAGAAGCCTGCGAGTGCTGGTTTGCGAGTCGCAGGCCTGCGAAGCTGCTGGCTGGGGGCCCCCTTAAAGCCGTTTGGAGGCTCTTTGCAAGCACTTTTGAGCCCCAAAGATTGTTTGAGCTCCGGCCCGCACGTGGCAGAATCGACAGGTCTGCGAAGTGCCGAATTCTGACCTATATATGTCGCGAAACGAGGCCTGTAGCCAACACAGAGTGTGGAGCTGGAACACTCTCCCCAGAGAGAGATCGTCTGTCTCGGTTTTCAGGTGCGTGCCACCGTTTGACAGGTCGATGTGCGTTCTCTTGTCTCGATGTGGGTTGGTCCGGCCTTGTGGAGCGCCTTCTCATCGAAGGCCTTCATCAACTTGCCATCACACGTCTGCACCACTGACCATGATGGTTGTGTCCACTCGGGGCACCTCTCTGCTGCTGTGTATGAGTACGCCTTTGCGAGACCCCGGGAAGCTGGGCTTGGGGTGACACTGCTTTTTGATTGCTTATGTTGCTGTTACGACAGCTCCATGTCGGAGGTTGTCTGTCAGCAGACGATACTGGCACCAGCAGCCATGACATTTGCTCCCCTGCACATTCCGGCTGGGCAGGACGCAGAGCAAGGTTCCGTATCAGTGGGAGTTTTATCTGTTGCACACATTGCGAGACCCACACTGATGGGAAGCTGGACACAGGATTTACTCATGGGAGTCAACTCTGCCCTACTCATGTCATCATGCGGCGGTGATCGGTTGATGGTTGTCCACCATGACTGCACTTTTCTGCCCTTGCGAGACCCACACAGGTGGGAAGCTGGGCTCATGTGTGCAGGATGCCTCACGTGTGGGTGCGAAGTTGGCTGGCAGACCATGTTATGCCCGTCATTCCTGCCACCACTTGCGCAACCCAGTTCAGCTGGGATGCGGGGGCTTCTGAGTAGCCGCTGTTGGTTGGCGTAGGGCGCTTTATGGCTGAACGACGACTGCCGGCTAAGTCTGCAAGTCGCAGCCTGTTTCACCCTGTTAAGGAAGTTTCTTCTTTGTACAGTTTTTGAGTTGTTATTGCATTCTTTGCGCTGCTTGTAGTTCTTACTGGGACCGAGTG